GAGCTAATATAACAGCATATACTATAACATATACATATTAAAATGTAATTGTGTGAAGCGCGCCGGGCTGTCCTACGCGCGTAAGACAGCCCGATGCACGGTTATTCGCGGATCTTTGTTAATTAAAATCTCGGTAACTATTGCGAATCTAGCAAAATGGTATAGGACTTTTCACCTCAGTTTTATTTCTTCTACCTGTCTACGAGAGATGTTAAACCAATTCTGGGACACCCTGTATATGTATATGTATATATAATTTCTAAAACATTATCAATGCGATTATGTCAACTGTAAGATTATTTTATTTTATGAAAAGTGAAATCAAACTTTTGGCATATATTATTGGATTGATGCTAAATTCGTTTTCTTAGATCCAGCCGAAGTACCAATGTGCGAGATATCCTTAGCCTGCGACAATCTGTTATGCGACGGTCACGGACGCCCACCTACTCCCGTTTTAGAAATAGATGTACAGTTAAAATCTTCTAAAAGTTGGATTAAATATGCTAAAACAGAAGTCGTGGAGGTAAGTACAAAAAAATTTTTTTTTTTTAAACAAAATTTTTTTCTTATACTTGCTACGTTTTATGTGCTACTGATTATTTCAGCGAAGTAGTAATCCAAGTTTTCTAACTACGGTGAGCTTTCGAGCTAGCGATGGCTTGACTACTGAAACGAAAATTAGGATAACCGCGTACGACGTTAGGGAAAAAGTTAGCCAAACCGCAACTCCAATAGGAAGTGCGACAGTGACGTTTAACACAGTACAAGACACTCCAAGGTAAAGTTTCGTAAAAAATACGAAACTTTAAAAGTTTGATTTATTTTTTCAGCAATATAATTTTTTTTCTAAATTCTTGTTTTTTTTTTTTACTTTAGATTAAGGATACCGTTAAAATCAACCAAATCAACAACAGTAGGATTTTTAACGATTAATGTATGGAATCTGGAAGCCGAGGATAAAGGAAATAGTACAGAGAGTACGCCATCACGAAACATAGTATATAGCAGTAACAACCAACAAGTAAGAAGTTAATTGAATCAAAGTATATTTTAAACATTATTATTCATTTTTACCAGTATATGTTTTTATACAATAGTTTTCGTTTAGTTGCCCTCGCACAGACGCTCGCAATCTCTACCTCCGAGATTAGGGACAAAAATCAAGTTCCCACATCAAGGCCAGTTAAAACTTCTCTTTGCAAACCCGTTTATACAAACTTACAGGTAAGTTCAAGCACTGATAATTTCTCACTTTATCAATGTTTACAACATCAAACTCGTATGTTTTAGATTTCATTCCGGATTAGGTGGCGATATATGCGTACATGAAATTATGGCGGAAAGCAAGCTTTGTTTCGAGTTTCCTCAACATTTATTGTAAGTATATCTCGGATATATTTTAGAACAAAAGTTTGAAATCAAAATAAAGTAGCGAAAACTTGCAGAGGTATCTGGATACAAGAAGAAAAAGAGTTGTTACAAGAGGTAGCTGGAATGGGAGAACTGAGAGAACCGTGGCATACAAAACAAATCGAATTATTGGATCGCCATCTTCACTTGTTACATTTGTATTCTCAAGCCAAAGAAAACTTAGCTGCTTATAAAGGTAACATTGACATCCACATCTGTTTTGTAACAGAAAAACTCAATTTACAAAAAATTATGTTATGTAAAAAACAATATGCAAAAACTATATACATATATATTTATATAACTATATATATATTTATATATTATATATATTCTGAAAATTAATATATTATCTTTATATTTTATGAGTTTTAGGAAGCTACTTTAAACAGTCATCACGAAAGAATGACCGCACACTTGAATTCGCACCTCTAAACTTGCATCTTCAAAGAATGTGGGTTCACAATGATACACTAAACAAATGCGGCTTTTACGATTTTATTAGTGTAGGAGCATTCACTGCTCACTCTCATAAAAGTAAAAACGGTGGACTGATTAGGTATGAAATTAACATGTACAATTCTGTTTTATTTAAATGATCCCCAAAATAAAATGCAGCTTCTGCAGATTAGTGCAGGCGCTGAAAGAATCGCCTATGCGGAGTAATCAGTTATATCAAGGAACATCAAAAATTACAATGGCGCATGACGCGATTCAAGCTATCAAGCAATTACGTCGGGACGTTGTAGAAGCAATGAGATCCTTAATGAAACTTGCTAAAGAAAAGCAGACAAGCGGTATGCTGCCGATATGCGAGGATATGATCACGAAAACTCGAATTTTGCTTAGTCTTTGGGATCCTGGTTTAGTGGAAGAAGCGCTGACGTTTTTGGAAGAGTATAAGGTTGCCAAAGTTCAAGAAGACTCCACTTCGACCTCGGAAGACATTTTAACACTAGATTTTAAAGCCAATCAATCCTTATCTCCGTTTAAACGAATCACGCAACAGCTAAATTTCGATTTGAAGAGCCCTGACTTCGACGATTTCGTTACGCCTGATACTCCCGAATGCGTGCAAGATATCTGGTCAAAGAGTGGCATAAAGAATGGCGAGTACACTTCTTTATCTTACTCGAGAAACGACACTCCCAACAGTAATACAGGCAAGAATGATGCGGAAGAGAATTTTGTAATATTTCCAGAAGTGGAGGACGATTTAAAACAGACAGAAGTCGGAACAAACGACAACAAAATTCAACAGAGTCACAACAACGAAAAGAAAGAGAACTACGATGATGAAAAGGAAGACTTAAAGAATGATTCTGACCCGTGCAAACGGTTTTTGGATACCCAGAAGATGTGCAATTCGCCGTCTGCGAATTATTATAAACCTACAGACGAGCCAGAGCCGTGGGATCTTACTCAGTTGAATATCGAAGCAAGCGTCATGTGCTTGGTATCGAAAGTGAAGTTTCTCTGCGGTAGATGTAGTAGTCCAGCTGTACGTTTACGCAATAAGAGCTTAGGCAGAACGCAAAGTCTCAAGAGTGGTTGTCTGCCGAGTAATCGGCACAATGCCGAAGTTGTCACCATTCAGCCGAAGAACGGTATCAAATGCGAAGAATCGAACAAATTGCTAGACGAATCAAATGAACGACAGCAGTTCAATCCGGGATTAGAGGGAGAATTAGAGAAACCGGCGTATTCCAAGGCGAAGGAAGGTAAGAGAATCGTTTCTATCAATGCTTTTAGCAAAAGTGTGGTACAAACCTACAAAACTGATGCATTATCAGGGATAACCGATATTTATTGTAACTCGTCTTCCAATGAAGTGTGCCAAGCGGTCGATTCTATGACTCGCGTGATTAAAAGTAATTCGGGACAGAGGAACAAGTTCACCGAAGGTTTGGACTTTGCGTCAATTGTCGACTGGACGTGTGAGCTCAGACCGAGTATGAAGAAGCTGCGGCAAGCTATGGACGGACTGCTGAAGACTGCTAGACTGACACATTCGGTGTTCCGTGTGCAAGAAGATTCTAAAACAGCACAGCGCGTGTGCAATGTCCGATATAGACGAGATGTTTGTTTCAGTCAAGCGGTAAGCGATTTATTTTTATATTATTATAAAGTAAGAACATTTAAACTAGCAACAGTAAGTTAACAATAAACTAATCAAACCTAATGGTAAAAAACAAAAAATTCCAGCTGACTGCTTTAGTAACCGGTTTAATGGCAAAATTGTGGTGCCAACGACCTGATCCGATGTTTCTGTTGATACTCACAACATTGGGACCATTAGTCTCTTTTGAAGGCCTCCTTAGTTATTACGGAGATGAGATAGACATGTGGGGTGACATGGCTGTAGCGGTCGAAGATACGCACACTGTCACTTTTACTTTATCCAGATGCGGCATTCAACCCAGGTAAAACTTTTATACGAGACATTATATTGATAATATATTATATTGATGTACAGAGGAGTGCATTATCGTGGCACTCCTCCAGGGGTAGGGCGCTCCTCCTCTTCCGCTCCAGAGGAAGTATTTCTCTGAAATTTCTCTTCTGGCTGCTCCTACTACCGCGCACCGTACTCTTTCGATCTCGGGCCGCTGGCGGAGATTTTAAATAGAACTCCCTATTTTTTATTGCAGATTCTCTAAGCTGAATTCAAGAGCTTTCCAAAACACTATAATAAAATTTATTTTCATTAAGTACTTTGTGACTTATGAGGGTTGAATATATATAATATATGATTCTGCATAATTTTGATAAACACAAATTTCATCTAAAACGTAAACGTTTTTTATTTTTTTCAGAGTAGAAGGAAAGTCCAATGCCTTTCAGTTTCCTATGCCGCGTGTAGTAGGATCACGGAGCGCGTTGACGGTAATACTTCCAGTTCCAGATGCAATTTATTCTCTTTTGCCATTAGTGCCCTCCTCCAGACAAACGGTGTCGTTTAATGTTACTCCGGTATTTTTCAACGTTGGTATCAATGAAATGGCTTCCCTGGCCGAAAGCCTCGGCACTACGAAACCTCAGGAAAAAAGTAACATGGACAACTTTGATAGACTGAACGAATATTATTTGAGATTTAAGAAGCTGAATTTACCAACAGAACCTACGTCCACACGTTGTAAGCAGTTATTACGATCTTACATTATAAAAAACTTATTAATCTAAAATTATGAATTTCTTTATTAAGTTTCTTTATTAATTGTTAAAATTATGAATGTAGTGCTGTATATGTTGGCGTTCCCGAAAAATAAAACAATGAGTAAACGATGGACAACAAAAGTCACTTTATTCAAAGATAATATAAACATTTTTTTCAACTAATCGTCTTGTTATCGACCTTTGTTTATTCATTTTTTACTACAAAAAAACCATATATAGAAATTTGAAAGATATAAAAAAATCTAACATTATGATTCCAAAAAAACTAAATTAAATACTAATGAGTCTTTTTGTTCTAGTCGCCACAAGATCAATTCTAGGTCACACATTATCGGACATGATGGCTAACTTAAAAACATGCGTACAAGAAAAGGTCAACAAAAACGTAGAAATCTTACAATTATCTTCTCAGATATGCAGAAGAATGCGTGGTTTGAGATTCACCAGTTGTAAGAGCGCGAAAGATCGGACGGGTATGTCAATTACTCTCGAACAGGTAAATATACTAACGTCAGAGTATCATTTGGCCGAGCACGAATACATGAGAGCTCTCGACTGCATGCGAAGGTAAGTACAAAAAAGTTTTTTGACTTGTTTGAAGGACATTTTAAGTGTTGAATTTTCGAAATTCATCAGAAATTATGCAGCATTAACATAATTGCGTGATAACATAAAATATAAAAAAATTTTCCAAATAAAAAATTTATTTTTCTTTGAAAACTCTCGTTTTCTAAACCAAAAGAATAATTGAATCAATTAGCAGGGCAATAATGAGCCATGGCAGGATGTTGTGCCGTCGAAAAAATTAAAAAAAAAAAATTTTTTTTCGACGGCGCAACATCCTGCCATGGTTCATTATTGCCCTGTTAATTGATTCAATTTATTGGAGTTACCAAAAGGAGCCGGAGGTCACACCTCATTTATCACTTATTCAAAAGAATAATGTTATTTAGAATAATCGGTGTATATAATTTCATAAAAATAATAAAATAATTTTGACCTTATATGTATATATATATATATATACACACACACAAAGTGCGCGCGCGTGTGTGTGTGTGTGTGCATATATATACATGTACAGAGGAGTGCACCGTATCGTTCCGCTCCAAGGGAAGTTTTTCTCTGAAATTTCTCTTCTGGCTGCTTCTACTACCGTGCGCTGTACTATTCTTTCGATTTCCGCCAGCGGCCCGAGATTGAAGGAAAACGGCGCGCAGTAGTAGGAACAGCCGGAGGAGAAATTTCCGAGAAATACTTCCCCTGGAGCGGAACGATATGATGCACTCCTCTGTACATATACTCTAATTATTGAACAAATACGAATTGCCTTCTCTCTCGTAGCGAGGGCTGTCGTCGGGAGAACACGTGGAAGAACATCGGTGTACGCAAGTACGCGTTCAACAGCTTGCAGATCTTAACACTGCCCAAACATTACCGACCTCCTACTGGCACGTACGGATCTGCTCAAACTTAAAAAGCCCGATTTAGTACGCACATTACACAAACTTACATTTGACTTTCTGGCTGTGTGACCGCGGATTGACTTCCGTTATTTGTGCTAAATAATTTAGCACTTGTTACGTAGCATGTATTAGAAGCGTCGAATGCGTTTTAGACAACGTGATTTCTTTACTTTAGAATATCTATTGAAAGCACACAACCAGGCACAAGACTGGCACGTGTTGGCATAAGAAATCCAATTAGGACCGTAGCACTAGGATAGTGAAAAAAAACGATGTTTTTCGGTCTATTTAATTTCTTTTTTATTGACATTTTTTGGCAGATTTAATTAAATTGTTGAATGTATATAAACAAAATTACAGATTTTATTTTATAATCTAACTAAAATCTAACTAAACTATGCTCCTCTAACTATATATTGTAGCATGTAAGTACGAATTAAGTGTAGTGCCGCGAAGGGGCATAAGCATATAAATTATTTATACAATATATGTATATTACACACACATTTTGAGATTGGAGCTGGTATTACAGGCTGAATCGGATTAAAACAGAAACGTCCTTACTTATTTCTTGGATGAGAATTTTCCGTCGCTACTACTAAACTACTCTTGCATTCCGTCTCTTTTTGTTACGCACGGTTTTTAGTTATAATCCGAGCCTTCACTCCAACTCGAGATTATTAGCGGGTTTTTGCAATACCGTAATACAAATATGTATCATAAATGTTATCTTGTGGTACAAATATATTCCGTAAAAAAAAATCATAAGTCAAGATTTTATCTCGAATTTACGTTGTACGCGATTTTCGGTGTTTATCATATTTAAAAAGTACGGAATTGCAAAAGATCTCTATTATTATATAATCGAATTATTATTAATCGAATTTATTGCGGTCGTTGTACCGATCATTTGCCTTTATGGGAATAAGTAGCTCGATGCCATTTTCTGCCATCCCAGACAGCACTTAAATCTGAAAGACACGTCATAAAAGATGGCTAAAATAATTTATACATCTTTTAGATAGCTTTAAATTAAAATCTCTTCCGGATTTTTGTGCTGTCTGGCACATTACTCACGAAATAGCCAACATTTAGCTTTAGCAGCGTTTGAAGAGAAATTATGAGATTTCGTAAACATTATTTGAGAATGAATAGCTGTATTTAAAGAAAAAACGTTATTCTCGCGCATATTTGTATATGTGGAAATTTGAGAATGTTATATTCAACATTTTATCGTACAAAAGACCTTTCTTCGATACGGACACACGTAGTTCTTATACTTTCATCATCCCGATTTAATAACACACGTGTTACTAATATATAACTATAGGCGTAACTATAGGCGATAGATTGCAATCGGATGGACATTGTTTTCAATAAATTATTAATTTTATTCGATAATTGCACACATTTGTTCTATCTTTATCGAACTCCTTTTCTCTAAAATTTAGACTAAAAAAAAAACAATTTTTTTTGTTTTGAAGTTTTACATATAATGTATGTATGTACATATATAAAAAAAAATGTATGTACATATATAAAATATGTATGTACATATATAAAAAAAAAACTTCAAGAATTACAGAAAAATATCTTTTAGCGTAAAATGCAAAAAGTTAGATTTTTTAATAAAAAATCGCTTCGTTCAGACGCGCTCTCATTACTCAACACTTCGTACCTATCCGCACATTTATCATATCGCGATTCTATGTGACATATCTATTACGATCTTATGACAAGACATGAACACAGTGAGAGTAGGCAAGAGCCTACGCGCGTAACAGAAACGTGTGGGGATACGGGACAGCGCACGACGTGAGACAATATATACTTGACGAAGGCCTGGTGTTGCCGAACACCTGCTCCACCGGGTCCGAACGGACACCTTTGTCCAAGGGCCGATATAAAACTCGTACGCCATTTCGGCCGCTTTAGTAAGCGGTCAAACGCGCTACAACAATCACCGACTTCGCTCATCGAACGATTTCAGATTGTAAATTATGGTTGATCTGCAATTAATATAGCGGTGACGAAGTATCGTGAGGAATAAAAAAATCGGAAAGTTAAATCGCAAAGTCAAATCTATCTAACAACTTAAAACCTGTTTCTTCTGCGAAGATTTACAACTCGACAAATTTAAAAGTAATAAATTTGTTGATTACAAATTAAAACTTAAAATTCTAGAAAAATCGTTGATTTTACATAAAACATAACAAACATAATAAACATATAACAAAACACATAATATAACAATAATTTAAGAATATATCGAATAAAAATATAAGTTAAAAGATTTTTATAAGATTCTTAAAAGAGTCAAAGGATCCAGGCATCTGTGAGATCGACGAAGATGGCAAACGTATTGTGGTTTCTGTTATCAACAATTATCGTCGCGCTGATTGCTGACACGTGCGCGGACATCACAAATCTCAGCAGTACGATCAAGTTGCTGCAGGAACAAGTGAACGCATTGCTGAATCATCGGCAGGAAGATTACAATGCTCTGGAGAAGAGTTTGAAACGCGCGATGGAGAAAAACACCGAACTCATCGTCCTCAGAAACGAGATGAAGCAACTTAGGTAAGATTTAATTTATAAAAAAATTTTTTTCGAACGTCATATCATAATACACATGTGCTACAACTAATTAGCCGAGAGTATAATTACAGTGTTTGTTGGCACACGTGCAAGCAATCTCAAAGATTAAATTGATATCCATCAAGGATTTTTCATCAGGTCGGAAGTATTTTAAACTCTTATTAAATTTCTCATAACATTAAACAGTTTTTATATTTGTGAGAACTATTATCAAATTATTAAACTTTGTAAAATATTTTAATTATTACACAAATGTTAAATATTTATAAAAAGTTCAAAATTTTAAGATCTGTGTTTTAATTGAGTGCAAAAGAGAATATAATAATGGGGAGTATTCCAGAAACGCTTATATTATAATATTTTTTCATGCGTGCAGAAAGGAAGTAAACGCTCTTCGCGGCGGAAGCGGTAACGAGGCGAAAAACGAGCGATTGCGGGTACGATGGCTCGGAAGCGCTGTAACGGAGTTGCAGAGTGAAGTAGCCGAAGTACTCAGAACGCGAAACGCCAGCGAGGAACTCGCCGAACGTTCAAGAATGAGGAGCGAACTGGCTCTGTTAAAGAGTGACATCGCCGAGGTTGGTAGAAGTATACGCGATCTCGGTGGCAGAATCACCAAGATCGAAGCTATCCTTGGTACTATCAAACTTGACATCGCCGCGATCAAGGAACGCTCCAGCTTTCTATCACGCTCTTGCGCGGATGTCGGTAGTCAGGTAAATTATCTTTTTTTAACTGTTAAGTAACTGTTAAGTAATAAGAATGGTGGTCAGAACTAACAAATTAAAAAAAAAAACAGATGATATAGACAGATGGTACCAATTTGCGATGGAACAAACCAGCGTAAAATAGAAGAAAAAAATATTAATCTGAATATATCTTTGCTTCTGAGGCAATTGACGACTTTTTTCAATTGTTTTTTTTTTTTAAAAGTCTTATTTGAGTTTAAAATTGAAACTTGTAATTATTTTCGATATATATGTATGTATATGTACACAATGCACGCTATTAGTGATTATGTCAGGAGGTTCCTAGATGCACGCGTGCCGCTTAATAGCTTTGACAGAATTTTTCACAATGACTTTAAATCGATTTCATGGTGATCTTATATGCTGAAGAACCCGGCATGCGCTCGTTCGCTCGCGGACAACGAGCATCCGTGTAGATAACGGCTGCCGCTACCATTTAGTATTTACGGGAGAAAGAAGAAGAAGAAAGAGGGATGCATGGTCGGTGCACCTGCGTTTTTTACACGGGGCGACCAGCTGCTTGATTTCTGTTTTTCGTTTTGCCGCTTGGCAGCTGCTTCTCAACCTCCTCTCTTTCTTTCCCCTCATCGCTCGCTTTATAGATCCTTCCTTTAAGCACGCATATGTCTCTCGGGTCTGTTTCCCCTCTCTTAAATATTTTTCACCTTTTGCGTTTCTCAACCTTTGATTTTTATTCGTTATAACAAGTCAAATGTAACAAAATTTAAAAATAAGTCTTAAAGATTAAGAAAAAAGTTATTTTGGACAGAAAAATGTACAATGTGAATTAAGATAAAATATAACTCACGCGAATTTTATACTTATTTATATTAAAAATTAAACATTTGTAGAAACATGCGACGATGTATTATTAAACTACATTTGAAATAAAATAAACCAGTGCTTTTCCCTTAAATTATTATTGAAAAAGAAAAACAATATGTAAAAAAAAGAATATATATAAATTTATTATGTGTGTGCACAAACTAATATAAACGGATAAAAATTAATATAAATTTATATATGTAATAAAATAAAAGTTTTTAATTTCTCTAAAACTTAACACGTGAGAAAAATTCTAGTCACGCATTTGCGTGCTTTTCTAAATTGCATATTCCATACAAGTCTCAATCGATGATTCTTACCGTCTGTGGTATTTGACACACGTTAGCGACCGCAGCCACAACAGCTGTGGCCCTACTCTTACGCATTTCATAGCCGCGTGTGTATCACACAGGCACACATACCGCATCATCAAAAACTGTCTGAAAAAAGTCAGTGGATAAAAAAATTCAAAAAATCTACCGAACACTAACTAGAAACTGGTCACGATTTCAAATAAAAAAGTGCACAAAGTTTAGATTTTAAAAATTTTTAGATTTTAAAAATTTTTACTTAAAAAGATTGATATTAAAAATGTTCCATATAAAATTATAAAAAAATGCGCAAAGGTACTAAAAAATTAAAATTGAATTTTTTAAATTATATAAAATCAAATAAGTACGTTGTTTTGCTTGTTGTCTTGGTTTTACTTACAAACACCTTCGACAGTTATCTAACATTATGTATGAAAGAAGCTACTTATATTATCAGAATGTTGTGAAGGTTGTACATCAGTGTTTAGAGTTTGATTTTGATAAATATGCAGGTCACACATCACCAATTTTGATGTGCTTTAGATATATTGTAGGGCAGGTCATACCGAGTAATTATGGAAAAAAATTTCGCCCTTGGTTTAGAAGATATAACAACTCAAAGTTTCGGAATAATAATAGTATTTTTCTGTTCTTTTCGTACGTGTTGTGAGCGTGTAGACAAGGGGGGCTGTGCCCCCCTGCAGGGGGAGTGGTTTCGCCCTTCCCCCTGCTCCCCTAATAAAAGAATGGAAAAAATAACGAATGACTTATATGCAAATATTTTATTTTTTTATTATATTGAAGGCGGATAATATTTTGCTAGAATATCAAGAAACGCTTGTATGTGTTCGGTAAATAGATATTTTTGTGAATAACTTTACGATCAACAAGAAAATCTATTAATTTGTCGCTGTTCTCTATCATACTTAGAAATTCGTGTAGTCGCATATTGAAAGCTATTAACAAACTGCGAGAAAGTGAAACGGAATCTTGACCTTGTAGCTTTGTTTCTTCAACACATCAGCCTGACATACACAAACTTAACTGTTCGTAATAATTACTTCTAATATCTAGAATAAAGCATTAAAATTCTGAAACTTCAAATATCTCCTAAACTAAGGCCATCCCCCACAAAATTTTTTTACATAATTACTCAGTATGACCTGCCCTAAAACATATCTGAAGCGCAACGAAATCGGTGATGTGTGACCTAAAATGCATAATTAACCTTTATTTTTTTTTTGTTGACTTTAATTTATTGTTTAATAATTCTTATTATTTGTTTTTAATTTTATTAAAGATATTAAAATTAGAATTGTAATCTATGGTTTTAAAAAAATATTGATGTGTAACTTTTTCTGAGTGAGTCTGTTATTTATACTCATGTCACATTGTAAAAACTTGTTTAATTATAGTGTTGTTCATGAAGTTGGCAAAATTATATTTTTTGTATCTATACTATAGACATATAAGAAATAGACTGTCACTAAGAAAAATTCAAGACAAAAATTGAAATGTATATTTTACCCAGATAGCAGATGGACGTTCTCTGGACATCCAGAGGACATATGGAAAACGGGATATCCTGTAGACATTCTGTTTTAATCCCAAAATCTATCGTGGATATCCTGAGGATTAACAAATGAGCGCCTCATGCTATACCTAGAAATATTCTCAGGATATTAACGTGAGACGTTCTACGGATTTTTACAGGATAGTCCAGTCAATAGGGAAAAAATGATGCAAAAATGTTTAACCGATTTCTGAGTACATTATCGTTTAGTGTGCGCTTCACTGATAGACCCCTACTATCATGTATCTAAAATTTTGTCCCGGAACTTGTTACAAATGATGGTTAAAAGT